GGTGCTAAGAATGGCGATGCTCACTGACTATGACGGCGAAACTTTTGGGAATGTACCACGTCCACGGTTCAACTTTGTAAATGATCATGCAGACAATGGACTCCAGACTAGGTGCGTTCCTCTAAGTCTTTCTTTCAATATAAACAGGTTGCAAAAACAAGGTCAAACAACTTCTATACACCGAAAGGAGACTGAAACCACACAAAAGGCCACACCATCTTGGTATTCATACCTTGAATATGAAGCTTAGTCAGTCTAGGTCGCTTAAAGCCATCCAATGACTGATATAAGAGGCCCCCACAGTAAAAGGCGTTGACCTTACAATAACAATGAACTGCACTCATCCTTGCCTCCGAGAGGGTATTCTCACAGATGGTTGTTGCTTAACAAAATATAAATCCTATATTTAAGATAGTAAAATTCGTTCCAGGATGCAAAAGAGCATAATATAAGAGGTATCTAACAAGCACGAAAGAAGCCACGAAGTGCATCGCTAAACCATATCAAGTCCTGGAGAAAGAAACTTTACTAGAAAAGAAAAACCGAAAAATCATTTAAAAGTTCAAAATTTTTAATTCGTTCTCTCTTTTAACATGTAGGAAGGACGTGAACGCCCATCATTCAACATCACTTACATGATATCGAAGCAATTCTAATCTGGCCCCTTCCTACTCAGGCCTCGACGGACACGGTTGAAGCCGAAAGACACACGGCGAACGAAATAAAGGAACAATTCGCCCACGGGATCCCAAGGCGGGATGTCCAACTCTTCTTCTCCTCCAATCTTGTCTCCCAAAGTGGGATCAGCCCTCACTGTGGTGCCCTGTCCTGTAGATGAAGACGAGCTCCTTCTAACCCCAAAAGGCAGTTTGCCAGAACCCAAATTCTCACGAACTTGGTTTGCTGTGCCAAGTTCGGTCCTTCTGGATGTCGTGTTAAGTAAGGGAATATCCTGAGAGTCAGTTATGAAGGAGGACAGTGAAGGTTGCTCAGGAGTTGTCAAGAGGCTGAAAGTAGAGGCATTCGAATAAACTGGAGGAGGGCTGCTTTGAAAATATGGATCTGGTGGTGCAGACGCCGACCGTGATGGAGAGAGTTTATCTAAAAGAGACAAAGACTAATAAACTAAACTGTCAAGAGAGACAGTTGGAAAAATATAAGTCAATAAATTTAGTTTAAAAAAATATTTCTTCAGAAAATCAACCAAAATAATCGTATAAAATAATAAATACTAAAAGGATGGCTCCAAAATCGTCGAGATTAGTGAAAAAAAACTAATTTTATGCATCGATGTAAGATGATGTGGAAATAAATTAGCAGCATGATTAGTTGATGCGCTACTCAGTACTTTGACCTACCAAACAGAAATTAAGAGGCAAAATAAGCTAAGAGCCCCAGAAATGGCCGCACTACACGAGCCACCACCAGATAATTGCCGAAAATACAAATGATATCGGCCCTTAAATTCAAAGTCTCAGGCATGAGTAGCAAAATCAGACCAGAGATAAGCGTAAGTTTTCTTGATGGTATCACTTCTGCGCTGGATTGCTCAAGAAAATAAAGTTTTTGGGGCTTTCATTTCATTTGAAAGTGCGCGAAGAAGAAATTCGAAGGTCGATCTCAGCAAAAGACAACGGATGATTCTCATTGTATTGCAGCCGTTTGGCTTAAAATACGACATTCAAGTTGACGAAGTCCACGAGACATTCTTCCTCGTTTCAAAGCGTTGACCTTTGGTTAGAGTGACCTAATCTCTTCATCACACAATTTAATACGAAACGAAAGTCCTCACAACAATGCTATCTTGGGGAGTAATCAAAACAAGCGTTTTCTTTGAATAT